TTTTTTGTTCTGGGAAGTAGCGAAGAGATCCATAGTCAGAGTTCCCCTTAGGGCAAATATATCTTGAAGCACCTCTGAGTTCAGTACCCACTCATGGTCGTGACAAAAATTCTGACTGAGACTGTCGGCTGTCATGTTCTATATCCCTGGTAGATAGACAGCTGAGATAAGCACATTGTGATGGGTGCATCAATTCCAAAGTTTGAGTGCTTCCTTGCAGAGGGAGAGAGATCTGGCACACCCTTGGTGATTTATGTAAAACATACAGGTCATGTTAAGTCTATCATGACTTTTACATGGGTGTTCTTGATGAAAGGCAGAAAGTGTGCACAGCATTCCTGACAGCCTTTAGCTCCCAAAGAGTGATATGGAAGGTCACTTGCCCTGAACCTTGTGGTTGTGTAGGTGAGCTCCCCAGCCTATTAGGAAAGCATTAGTCCCAGGGTGGTAAGTCTGTGTAGTGGGAGGAACGCTCTCAAGGTTGGTGCTGATAAACTCCAGTTGCTGTACCGGGGTTCGTGCACCGCTAAAATGAAGAGAACCTTGGAGAATACCCTGGGTGGAGCAGTCTGAACTGATAACAGTCCTGCCCCAAAGGTAAACCATAGGAAATCTCCTGTACAATGGTTATATTGAGATATGGAAGTAGACATCTTGTAGGTCGAGTGCTGTAAATCAATCTCCTTGCTCTAGAGCTGGAATAATGACTGCTAGTGTGACCATCTTGAAAGTCTGCGCCTTCCCGTATTTGTTTAATACCCTTAGATCTGGAATGGACCTCCAACCTCCCTTCGCTTTGGGGATCCGGAAATAATGAAAGTAAAACCCCTTGCTCCTGAGTTGCACCGGAACTGGTTCAATGGCCCCTAGCCATAACAAATGATATATTTCCTGATGAAGTAGGTTCTTATGAGAAGGGTCCCTGAAGGGGGACAGGGAAGGAGGGTTGGAATGGGGAGGGACATGAATTGAATGGCATAACTCTTCGAAATAATCTCCAGGACCCATCTGTCAGAGGTGATATTCTCAAACTGCTGTGAAATAGGGCCAGGTGACTTCTGAAGGTGACAAGTGTGTAGGTGGCAGCTGATGTTGCAAGGTATAATTGTTCAGGCCCTTGACCAACCTGTCAAAAGCGCTTAGAAGAGGCGGTTTGAGAGATCGCAGACTGGGGTGTGGTCTGCTTCTGAGCTCTGGTTTTCTTACACTGTGGCTAATAACAGCCCTGAGATGGTGGGTATTGAGGAGATTGTGACCTGTGCTGTGGCTGAGAGGTATATCTTCTCTTCTGTCCCGCAGTGTAGATTCCTAGGGAGTGTAATGTGGTCCGGGAATCCTTCAGGATGTAGGGAGAAGAATCGGTCTTCTCTGCAAAGAGTTTGGGCCCTTCAAACAGGAAGTCTTCTGCAGAGCTTTGGGAAATGCAGAAAGGTGTAGCCAAGAAGCCTGTCTCAGTACCACTGTCCTGGAGACTGGGCGGGCTGCTGTATCAGCTACATCCAGTGCTGTCTCTAGCACCAGTCTGGCTATTAACTGACCCTGTCTAAGAATGGTCTGAAACTGCTCCTTGTGTGTCTCCAGTAAATGCTCCAGAAACGCATTGAGTTTCCCATAATTAATAAAATTTTATTTGACCATGACAGTTTGGTAATTCACGACTCTAAACTAATGTCGCCGGCAAATTTGCTTCTTTGGGAGGGATGTAGTACTTTTTTTTTTTTAATTATTTTTATTTTTGGCTCTGTTGCTGGTTAGTGCGATGGAGGCTGGTGTCTGCTGGATGACTTTGGTAGGATCTAGAATAGCCTCATTAATTGGGAAGGCAACTCTGGATGAGGAAGAGGTGTGCAGAATATTCACCAACTTGTGGTGTGTATCTGCCACCTCCTGTAGAGGAATCTGCAGCTCATCTGCCACTCTCTTGGTATGATCCAGCAAGTTCTTAAAATCATCACCTAGTGATGGCGGGGGGAGGCATTACAGCCTCATCTGGTGGAGATGAGGAGAAGTTTGCTTGGGGGGGTAGCTTCCCCTTCGAGTCTTTCTTCCTGTTCTGAAAAAGCTTCCTCCTCCCCTGGCTCAGGGGCTCTGGACAGCCAGGCTGTAGGAGACCATCTGGTGGACTCTCTCTGAGAGACACTGGACAGCTGCAACATGTGTGTATGTTGCCCAAGGATTGCAATATGGCCACGGGGGTGGGGGGGGAAGGAGGGCAGGCTTGGGCAGAGGGGTTACTCCAGGGGGCCTGTATCACAATTGTGGGTTGGCTCGATGGAATTGGGGAGGACCCTTGTATTGTGATGGTGGGCCACGATGAGGAGTCAGGGAAATGACCTCCTCCTGGCCACTGTTAGAACGGTCACTGGGTAAGGGCACATTTCTGGGGAAGAGTCAGCATGGCTTTTGTAAAGAGAAATCATGCCTCACCAATCTATTATAATACTTTGCGGGGATAAACAAACATGTTGACAAGGGAACTCCAGTAGATATAATGTACTTGTACTTTCAGAAAGCCTTTAACATGATCCTTCACCAAAGGCTCTTAAGCAAAGTAAGCAGTCATGGGATAAGAGGGAAGATCCTCTCATGGATCAGTAACTGCTTAAAAGACAGGAAACAAAGGGTAGGAATAAATGGTCAGATTTCACAGTGGAGAGAGGTAAATAGAGGGGTCCCTCATGGGTTTGTATTGGTACCAGTGCTGTTCAACATATTCATAAACAATCTGGAAAACGGGGTAAGCAGTGAGGTGGCAAAGTTTGCAGATGATACAAAATTGCTCAAGAGAGTTAAGTCCAAAACTGACAGCAAAGAGATACAAAGAGATCTCATAAAACTGGGTGACTGGGCAACAACATGCCAGATGAAATTCAATGTTGATAAATGCAAAGAAATGCACATGGGAAAACATAATCCCAACTATACATACAAAATGTAGGGGTCTAAATTAGCTGTTACCACGCAAAAAAGAGTCATTGTGGATAGTTCTCTGAAAACATCTGTTCAATGTGCAGAGGCAGACAAAAAAGATAATCGTAAGTTAGAAACCATTAGGAAAGGGATAGATAATAGGACAGTAAATATCATCATGCACTATAAAAATCCATCGTAAACTCACACCTTGAATACTACGTGCAGTTTTGGTTGACCCATCTCAAAAAATATATAATTGAAAAAAAAAATACAGAAAAGGGAAACAAAATTGATTAAGGGTATGGAACAGCTTCCATATGAGGGGAAATTAAAAGGACTGGGACTGTTCAGCTTAGAAAAGAGACGACTAAGGGGGATATGAAAAAGGCCTATAAAATCATGAATAGCGTGGAGAAAGTGAATAATGAAGTGTGTTATTTACCCCTTTACATAACACAAGAATGAAGGGTCACCTGATTCAATTATTGTAAACAAAGCAAACAAAATGAAGTACTTCTTCAAACAACACACTGTCAACCTGTAGAACTCATTACCAGGGGATGATGTGAAGGCCAAAATTATAACTGGGTTCAAAAAAGAATTAGATAAGTTCATGGAGGACAAGTCCATCAATGGCTATTAGCCAAGATGGTCAGGGATGCAACCCCATGCTCTGGGTATCCTAAGACTCAGACTGCCAGAAGTTGGGATTGGATGACGGGATGGATCTGTAAATAATTGCTCTGTTCTGTTCATTCCCTCTGAAGCATTTGGGCCCAAGCACTGTCAGAAAAGAGAATAGCAGGCTATATGTACCATTGGTCTGATCTAGTATGGCTGTTCTATGTTCTCACTCTAGCTCCCATTAATACTTTACTAAAGACTCTGACTGCTTATTAATTGTACCAGAACACTGAGTTGAAGATTTAGAAAATTTATCTTATAATTTCAGCAGCTCAAAAATATTGAGACACATCTCTTGGTTGTGAGGAGGCTTTTTTGAGGATTCCTAGTCTGATCACTGGAGCTGCCAATGAAATCAACAAATTCAACCAAGATTTTGTCTCATCATGTATCTTACAAAATTAGATTAAAAACTAATAAGAAAGATGAATTTGCACAATGCAAACCTGCTTATCTGATGGCAGGACTGAATGGTCTCAAAGTGCAACTGTTTTTTGAATAAACTGGCTTTCAAAAAGGCAGCATATTGGAAATTGATTTCTTTCTGAGTAAATCCACAGTATAAATTAAATTGTATGATAGGGTGGCTGCCCCTCATTGGCAGAAAAGGGGTTAAAAAGCATCCCTAGGGAGGCTGTGCTGGAGGCAGCCAATCAGAGAAGGGCTGTAGGGAGGAGCCAAGCAGGGCCAAGCAGGCCCATATAAAAAGGGAGCTGCATGGCAGAGAATGCAGTTCTCTGCTGGGAGCCCAAGGAGGAAGGACTGTGTCCCTGGAGGGCTGAGAGAACTGCCAGCACCCTGGACAGAGCAGTGCTGCTAGCAGGGACCGGGGGAATGGAAGACAGCTCCTGGCTGGCTGCTGCGGTTTGCAGGCTGAGGCCCTGAGGAAAGGGCAAAGAGAATGCTGGGGCCATGAGGAAGTGGCCACACAATCCACTGCAGTAGCCACTAAGGGAAGTGGCTGAACAGTGGACTGCAGGTCCCCTGGAAGGGGGGAGCACAGTGTGTGGCACGGCCGGAGGGCTGTGTCGCTGAAGAGGACGCCATGGTCCTTCAAAAGATGTGGGTCCTAGAGCAGGAGTGACGGCAGCGAGGCACTACCCGAAGAGGGCACACTAACATGCAGAGCTAATTCCCAAGACAGCCTGCAGGAGGCGCCAGAGTGGTCAGCGCACCCTGTCAGAGATACCAATATTGTTATTTATATTGAGGAACCATGAGGAATACCAAGTAAATTCTCCTGTAGGACCCAACAGAAGTAACTCTTCGCTAGACGTAGATTTACATTTAGATGCCAACAGAAGAACCCAAAGTACACTGTTTGTAATAAAAACAATTTAAAAAAAGTTATTCCTTGTATCTTGCTTTTAAGTAACGCAGATATGGAAACAACGGCACTGTACCTGATTTTGGAGCTCAAAAATCTGAGTCCAGGTTACAGCACTTGGTCGACTTCGTTGAATCCTCATTTGTGATGATGTTTTACCAAGCTTTTTTTTCCTCATTGCTGTTAAGACAAGATCCTTTAAAAAAAAAAAAAACAACAGAAATATTCACTAAGAACCTGATTCTGCCTTATTCTTTTAAATAGTACTTCATCACACAACTAATTCCACTGAGATCTATGGGACTACTAGTGTAGTAAAGTAAGATTAATCAACATGAATAAGGGTGGCAGAAACAAGATCCAAGTTTATATCACTCCATTAAAAGTTAATTAACCTCCAAAATATAAATCACTATAAAAGAGCAGAATTTACCTCCTCTTCTTCAGCAGCCCTTGATGCGGAAGTCCAGGGCAATCAAGAGCAACTACTCCTGTTTGTTTTGGCTGCATGTTCAACATCAGAGAAAGGCAAAGCATAATTCAGACTTCTACTAACCTTGCTGAGCTCACGATGAAGTTTTTCTCTACCCTTTGGTGCAGTTTGTACCATTGGTGATCCTAGTCTTAACGTAGCTGGTGAAGCAAGAACTTCAGGAGTAACTTGTGCTTCAAAATTTGCCTTCTTCAGGGTTCTGCCCATAGGAGTAAATGAGCTCTTTATATATGAAGAAAGCCCCTGAGTGAATTCAGGAGGGCAAGGAGGAGGGCAAGGAGCTTGGCCAGGAAGAGGAGGAGGAGGCCAAGAAGCTTGGCCACCAGGAAGAGGAGGAGGAGGAGGAGGAGGGCAAGGAGCTTGGCGACCAGGAAGAGGAGGA